CTTTGCAGACATCAGCTACAAGAGAGACAAACCTGTAGCTAATCACTTCAATAGTGATGATCACAGCACCAAAGATGTTAGATATAACATCATAGCACAGCTCAAGGAAAACCCTGAGTCTACCGACACCACAGTTAAGAGGAGAGCACTCGAACTGAGGTGGATATTTGAGCTAAAAACGTTCCACCCGCACGGTCTCAATGACAGAATGGTTGGCTGATTAATTCCCCCTTTGGTCAACTTGACATGTGTATGATGTCACAGAGGGAATGACATATGATATTTTATTGTCCCAGGATAACCCACCATGCTTGTCTCTCTGTTCTTGTTTCAGCCATATTGAATCTATGTTCCATCAGACTGTAAAGAATCAAGTCTGGACCAGACATTCCAGTGATGGATCATAACATCAACAATTCGGGCCACTGGGTGACACATACCGGTAATCAAGCACCTGGCCAATGAGGTTGTCTCTTATCACCAGCATTATTTGCTGGGGACTATTCTGGCAGCCCCTTACCTTCACCGTGCCGTAGGTCACAGGGACCATTGGTCCTGATAAGCTGGAACCCCTTCAGCATGGTCAATGCTCTATCTCAACACATGCACTCACATTTCATGTGTCCATAGGTGCCAACGAAGGAACAAGCGCATAAATATCTGTTCAAAAGATAAATGGAGGTTTCTCAGAAAATGAGATAGTTTCCCCAGCAGTTCCCGCAGCCCTGTCATTTCAGCGACCCAGCACCGAAGCATCTAATGCACTACAACAACCTGAGTGCATCAATACTGATTACTTCTGCTGAGGTGACTGGGAAACAAAGCCAAGAACAACCTTCCAGCTGTCCCAGAACACAAAGTTTGTGAATGGTCAAACTCAACATAGGTTGCAACCCTGGATGGCCATTGCCCTGAGTGTAACTGATGGCCTGAGTTTAACTGGTGGCCTGAGTCATTGAGTTTTACGCCGTTTTTAGCAATATCACGGTGGGGACACCAGAAATGGGCTTCATACATTGTACCCATGTGGAGAATCGAACCCGGGCCTTCGTTGTGACGAGCGAACGCTTTAACCACTAGGCTACCAAACTGCCCCCTGATGGCTTGAGAGCAGATGGGGTATATTCATAGGGATTTGTTCCCACTGTGCCGGCCGATAATTCGGATTACCGTATTTTCTTGAGTATAGTGCGCACTTTTTTTCGAAAAAACACAGCTGTGTAGATGGGGGTGCGCATTATACACGGATTATGAGTTTGGATGTTTTTTTCCCCCATGGAAAGACATTACCGTGAGCACGAAACACCGGAAATACCATGTCAACAAATCCATACTGAAGTACGCAAAATAATCATGTAATTACACTGTCTGGCTATAAAAAGTGTTCTTTCTATATCTGGACTTATGTTTGTAACTTATTTCATTCAAAATTCCTTTTAATATTGTTTTTATTAATTTCGGCGAAATCGTGTGTGAAGCGATCGGAAGAAGGCACAACTCACCGTTATTAACAGCAACCACGGTCAGAATACCGCTATTGACGCCTTGAAACGAATTTTAGTTGACAGAGAATGGATACATATATCATAAATGACATGCTTTGACTCGTTAAAAGTCATATTTGTTTTTGTTTGACGATTCTATGTCAACATGAAATTCTCGCGATCACGTGTGCGTGAGCCTTGACGGTGACTGGTCAGACTGGTTCCATTTAAAAAAAAAATACCCGGCAATAGCGATCAGCTGCTTCGCTTAGGGTTATTATTATTTTAAATATGTTTAGTAAAGGCTACATATAATTAAGAAAATAATGGAATATATCATTCCTGATAAAAAAAATAGTTTCAGATACGATTGTTGCCGATCCTTGCATTAAAAATCCTATAAAGTTATATCATTGGGTGTGTCTTGACCGAATCACCGGTCGATTCCAAGAAAACGTGTGTACAGCTGATTGCTGTTTCCGGCTTAGTTTACGAGAAAATACACAAGGTAATCTTAATCCCTAGATATAAAACAATGCCTAGCAGAACAATAAATACTATTTAAACGGTAAATAAACATGTCTGGTGATTTTTTATCTCAAATTTTGAATTTGTACTGACGAAGTTTCTCATCACCCGTTCGTTTGGCGGACTTCGCTGAAAGGGTACGGTGTAATTTTTTTCTGCGCATAATATTCAAATTTCTTTTTTTCTCCAAAATATTGAACCCGCTAGAGGGGGGTGCGCATTATACATGGGTGCGCACTATACTCAAGAAAATACGGTAATCCAGATTAGCCTTGCTGCATAGCCGACACAAGCCAGGTATTAATTAGCTATGGTGAAAAGTGTTCACGAAATTTGTTCACAAATGTCAAGGATGAACTTTCATGATATGATTTAACGTGTCATATGTAATTGTGAAAAAATTATTCATTTGAGTGAATACTTTTAATCAAACATGTATAAATGAGAAAGAACATCAAGAAGCACATCATTGTTTCATTTCATAATGGCAAATAACTGACCAGTGGGTTGAGGGAGAGGATAAAAATATTTGGAACCAATTTCGACACCTTGGGTCCCAGAACCACTGGAGGGGTGGCACTCCAGAATCAACAAAATGACAACCAACCATCCCAACATTTACTGATTTATCAGTTTGATTCAATCTGAACAAACCATGATGGAAGTTAGGATAAGCCAACTGGAATCGGTGGTAGAAAATTACCCAAAAAGAAGTAGTACTGCGAAATGGAATATGAACTTCATCGTCTAAAAATGTGCCTGGTTTCTGGGACAAAATGTGTAATATCATACAGAGATTCCGTTTTCCATCTTGTTGGGTTGTAAATTATTGTATGTCTGAAATCAATATATTTAAGAAATTCATAAATTGTGTTCAGTGCTCCTTTTCAATTGGACCAGAACTTGACAGCACGATAAACCCCATTTTAATCCTTCTATTGTTAAATGGTAGATTAACTAAATCACCCTAAACGATAGCTGCTGGCACAGTGAGAACACCCCTTCAGAGGTCACCCTGCCTGTGTGGCATGCCAGATTGGGTTATTCAAGAAATTGATCCGTGGATAATTCAAAGTGTTGGATCTTAGTATCTCAGTGTTTGTCGTAGTGTATGGGACATTACACAAACAGCATGTCAGCTAACTACAAGGGCTGGTCAAAAGGTTCTGAGCTTAACAAACAAAACCAACAATTGTGATAGTGTTTCTAATCGTTTGTTTCAACATAATCTCCCTACTTTTCAATACAATTCTCATATCGATAGTGAAGCTTCTCAATTCCAGTCAGGAAGACGTTTTCTGAAGCCACCCTGAAAAACCCATTTTCACGGCAGCTTTGAGGTCATCGTTGTCGTTATAGTGCTTTCCATGATGGTGTTCTTTCAGTTTAGGAAACAGGTGGAAATCACTTGGTGCTAGGACTGGCGAGTATGGAGGGTGGGGAAGCTCTTTGAATCCACATTGTTGCACAGCAGCCTTTGCAAGTCGAGAGGTTTGAGAAGAGGTGTTATCATGAAGTAGTAAAACTCCAGCAGTTAGCATTCCCCGCCGTTTTTATTTGATAGAATCTCTCAGGCGATGAAGCAAATCAGCATAGTAGGCCCCGGTAATCATCTTTTGACTTTCTAAGTAATCAACAAAGATCACACACTTTGCATCCCAGAATACATTATGGCCATAACCTTCTTTACTGATCTTGAAGACTTGATTTTCTTTGGTGCCAGAGAAGTGGAATGGCACTTTTTCATGGAATGGCACTTTTTCATAGCGGTAGACCCATGTTTCACCTGTTACAAATCTCTTTTGGAATTTGACTAAATCCTCCTAAATTAGCTCTAATCTTTCTCTGGCAATGTCGGTTCTTTTTTCCTAAAGATCAGAATTTAGAAACTTTGGCACCCAACAAGCAGATATCTTATTCATCTGTAAATGTTCATGAATAATAGTTTCAATGGATCCATGGCTTAGACCTGTGTCTTGCTCAAGTACAGCAATGGTAATACGTCTATCTGACAGTATAAGGTTTTCTATCTCCTTGATGCAGTCTTCATTGATGGAAGTTGAAGGAAGCTCAGACCAAGGGTCATCATCAAGGCTTGTTCCCCAGCCTTAAACATAGCTGCCCAACATTTAACAGTGGAATAGCCTTCATCCCTATGCACTTGTGACATGTGGTCATGAATTTCTTGGGGAGTACTTTTCTTAAAAACTTGATGACTACTCAAACAATGTACTGCTTTGACTAGTTCACTTTGTTATGGCCCAAAGTTGAAAGTTAGTCAGGCTTAGAACTTTTTTGACCAGCCCTCGTACTTCTGATCTTAAGTACATACTTGAATCTGCCTGAGTGTGTGCGCAGTGCGTGCGTTCGTGTGTGCGTATGTTAAGGATGACTAACACTCTCCATTATACAGAACAAAATTGACCAAAATGACAGTGGTTCTAAAAACATCTCTGGGCCATATGTCTCTTTACCTCTCAACACCACCCGAGAAAGAAGCTAATACCTACTTGTATTGCTCGTATGGGGGCTGCCCCAAATAAAATCTCATTTTGATATTTCAAATTGACCATGACCCACCCTACAAGTCACAAGATCAACTAACACTGTAGCTAGTCAGCATTCCAAAAAACTCCGAGAACATTACTTCAATTTTCAAATGTTGAAAGATGCATGCAAGCAGAAAATGAATAATTTCCTAAAGAAAAACATGATTTAAGACAGGAAAACACAAACAGCCTTTTAGGTTTAATATACCTCACTGCCCATACAACACAAAATATCTGCACATATTTAGAAATGACAGCAATTATTTTTACAGCTTTTTATCCAAACAAATTTAGTCATTAAAACCTTTATGGTAGTTGCTTCCATGGGGAAGTCCTAAATACCAAGGGACGTGCTACAGCAGACATATCAGCGCCTCCTCAAAGCAACCTGGGATAGCAATTGCTTTTATCCCTCATGTGAAAATATACCAATATTTACCTTCTTCAGCAGTGGTGGGCAGCCTGCAGCATTGGGACACTCCACTGGCATGTAATCACAGTCCGCTTCATGATCGCTGAAATTATAAACACAAACTAAATACTCTCGTACGGAAAAGCTTTTCTAATCAATAAATTTATTATAAATCCAGTTATTGTCTGGAAGGTCTCTCGAGAGTCATTTGTTTAAAAAATTGTTTTATATGTGGAAGATGTTAATGAAGTTGGAACAGAATCAGCCAATGCTACACATTATGAAACATTAATACTTCTATTTGCAACCCTAATTGATATCACACTGACAAATTGTCAAGGAAGAAGTTAGTTTTAAATGCTCTCTGAAAATATTTATTGTCTGCAAATATAAGTCAGGCAGAATTTCTGACAGAATCACACCATACTGTGGGCCTTGGACTAATGTGGTTTAAATGCTGCCATCATCACAAAATCAATTGTTATGTCAAATGTAAAGATCACCAAAGACAAGGAAAGTTTCAGAAAATAATAAATACTGACAACTGTGGAAGGAAGGAGTGGTTGACTTTGAATCAGCCACAGAATGTCATGGCAAGATAAAACCCGTTCTCGTCCTTTCCTAAACATGGAACTAGCACTGGAATCAGCGCTGGAATCAATTGCCAAAATGATGGTGTTTGGGGTGAGTGAGTGAGTGAGTTGGGTTTAACAGCTCTCCAATCCAGATTCCAGTTATATTTCGGCATACCAGCTTAGGGTGTAACTTGCAGTGCCTTAGACAACTGGGCAACCCCTGCCTCCCACCATCTTGGAATAACAAAATATGTGTTAAACCCCTTCTTCACAACCTTCCATAATAATATAACTAGCATTGGAATCACGTGCCACAATGACAGTGTCTGGATGGGTGACCATCCTGCAATGCCAAACCATCTAAAAAAAACCATCTGCTCAGCCTTCCATCATAACGTAACTACAATATATATGCAGTGATCTTTGGGAGACTTGTCTGTGTGTCCACCGGTGTCACCGTAACCTGGCAACACAGACTGATGGTCAGACTACTGACAACTGAAGATTGCCCGGTCAAAATCAGCCGGCCTCCATGACATGGCTGTATCATGCCTGACAACTGATATTACCTTCATACATTCAATCCACCATTGATACAAATCATGTCTGACCTTCCCCGACGTGTCTGACTCATTGAGTTAAACTAATGACTGCAAGTCAGATAGGTTTGATGCATACTTACCCAGTTAAACATACACATCTTCATAAATAAACAACTTTGACAGAAAATTGATAGACTCTTCTGCTGATACTGCTTGGCCAAAGATCAGAAAAGTTTAAATTGCAAGACAATTACAGTTCGGGGAGGCTTCCTGTGATCAATCAGTGAGGTGTGTGTGAGTACAACATACAAAGTTTGTATTTGGCTTGCACTTGACAGCTCGGCTTGTGCAGTCTCCCTCCAGGATGTCCTCTAACATAAAGATGTTACTTCGGGAGAATTCTGTATTATTGATCCGGCTCCACAGACTAAATGCTATTTCAAGTTCATGATATCGGTGGGAAACAAAAGTACACCCATCCTTTCAAGAAAGCACAAGTTTGACACCTGTGGCCCTTCTCAGGGCCTGGTAAAGTGTGAGTGAGTGAGTGAGTGAGTGAGTGAGTGAGTGAGTGGGTGGGTGAGTGAGTGAGTGAGTGAGTGAGTGAGTGAGTGAGTGAGTGAGTGAGTGAGTGAGTGAGTGAGTGAGTGAGTGAGTGAGTGAGTGAATGAGTGAGTGAGTGAGTGAGTTTGGTTTAATGCTGCTCTAAACAGTATTCAGGTAATATCACAGCATGTCAGCTTACAAGCGGGTGGAAAGCCCCGAAGTGATGCAAGTTTCTGATATTTACCACTTTGGTGAAACCCACCAGCATCAGTAAGGTGCTGACAAACCTAGAAACATAATCTTGGCAAACGGGATTTCAAATCGATAATCATAGGATTCTGGTGTGCCCAAGGGATGCAACTCTGAACAGTGAATTGCATTGTCTCAGACAACTGGGCCACCTGATTGTGAGCATATGCCGCTGGAATCCCATTCTGAAGGCCTCAAAGACTGCCTGACAGAAGAGTTCAGACTACCACAGGGCCTGGTAAAGAGTGAGTGAGTACATGAGTGCGTGAGTGCGTGAGTGAGTGAGTGAGTGAGTGAGTGAGTGAGTGAGTGAGTGAGTGAGTGAGATTTTACCCCATTTTTAGCAAAATTCCAGCAATATCACGGCGGGGGACACCAGAAATAGGCTTCATGTAATGTACCTATGTGGGGAATAGAACCAGAGATTTTGGTGTGACGAGCGAACGCTTTAACCACTAGGCTAACAGCACGCGTAAAGGAAATGTGTCATATACTTTAGGAGTATACTCAGGAGGGAAGAACATGAAGAAATGGACACTCGGACCTTCACGACTCTCACCTTGACCTTGCATGCTGACCACGCTTACCCTCACGGGGGTCAGCTGATCCACTTACATGGTCACAAGTCCACTAGAGGAACTCTGAAGTAGCTTGTATAATGCAATAACTGTTTGAGCTATTCCAGCAAAAGCAATGTCCAGGATATGAAATGGTGCATCATACAGTATGCACAAAGTGCTGTATGCACATAACATGCTTTCACTATGATTTAAATACTAAATCAATGAATAGAAAAACTGAATTATCACGAATCGTAACTGATTTGCAGACCATATCAATGCTCACTTCAATTGGCACAGAAAACAAAGGACACATTACATCTTTCTCCATGTATAGAATATGCAGCAAATACTGGGGATGAATGATTATGGCAAGAAAGTCTTATGTGCCAGAGCAAGTCATGTTCTTCAACTGCTTTGAAGTCCTCCATTTCAGTCTGACCATGCATTCACTGCACTTTGACAGAGTCTCCAGTCGTAATGATTTTTGGATATTTGACATTTTCAAAGCTATCATTTCCCCTCCCACTTTCATGGAACATCACCTGTGAGCTCCGCAGTGTTTTACAGAAATGGGAGGAAAGTAACAAGATCAGTGATGTTTGTGAATGAATCCACTCAATCTCATTATGTAAATTATTGAACTGTTTAAGACAGATTTTTTTCATTTTCTTTTACTCTGAAGAGCTCAGAAATCGATGGCATATTCTAAGATAAAGTGAGTGAATTCTTTCTGAAACCTGCAGCATCATTTCAAGTTCAGTGGGGCCAGACATTCCCTAACTAAATAACTGCAGTCAGTAACTGAGTACATATATCACTGCAGCCCTCACCACCCAGTTATATCACAAGTCTTCAGTTATACACCAATTATATCACAAGTCTTCAGTTATATCACAAGTCTTCAGTTATATCACAAGTCTTCAGTTATACACCAATTATATCACAAGTCTTCAGTTATATCACAAGTCTTCAGTTATATCACAAGTCTTCAGTTATATATCAGTTATATCACAAGTCTTCAGTTATATCATAAGTCTTCAGTTATTTATCATTTTTATTACAAGTCTCCAGTTATACACCAATTATATCACAAGTCTTCAGTTATATCACAAGTCTTCAGTTATACACCAGTTATATCACAAGTCTTCAGTTGTATCACAAGTCTTCAGTTATACACCAGGGATGTTTCATATACTATCAACCACTGGTTTGTCATGTCCAGACTCGATGATTGACAGGCCACTGTCACAGAGCTGACAATATTGTTGAGTGTGGCGTTAAACAACAAATAAACAAGCACATTATCAGGCTGGACATGCTCACCAGGTTTGTGAACCTCTGGTTTGTTTGTTTGTTGTTTAACACTGCAATCAATAATATTCTAGCCATATGACGGCGGTGTGTAAATACTTGAGTCTAGACCACACAATCAAGTGATTGATAACATGAGCATCGATCCACGCAATTGGGATTGATGACAGGCATCAACCAAGTCAGCGAGCCTAACCACCCAATCCCGTTAGTATCAGGTGCTAACACTGGAATTTTATAGGTTTCTTGAGTGGGCGTTCTTGAATTTGTTTTTTCCTTTCTTTTATTACTGCTCAGTATGTTCTCTTGAGTCAGAGACATGACTATGACTACGCTTCAGGCACTGACAGTGTTAATTTGAGGCATTTGTTTGTTTGTTTGTTTGTTGTTTATCGCTGCACTTGGCAATATTCAAACTATATGACAGCTATCTGTAAATAATCGAGTCTGGACCAGACAATCTAGTGATTGGTGTCATGAGCATCGATCCACCCAATTGGGTTACGATGAAATGCATCAACTAAGTCTGACCCCCCCGATCCTGTTAGTTGCCTCTTAGGATAAGCACAGTCGCCTTTTACGGTAAGCATGGGTTGTTGAAGACCTATTCTACCCTGGATCTTCACGAGTCTTCATTTGAAGCAGCTTTGAGTTGGCTATCTTTCTCTAACGACTCCCAGTGACACCTAAACATTCAGTACTATTCTTAAAGGAACAAACAAATGGATTCAAGAAAACAAAACAGTATCCTTCATATAGCATTCGTTCCCAACCTGACTTTGTGTCTTTAACTGATCTGAATATTGTTATGATAGCCATAATCAAAATGATCACATGTGATCACAAGAAGGAGCCAAAGAATTGATCTGCAAAAAGCATGCTTAGATGTATGACAAAGAACTATGTTTTCTCTAAGGAATGTAGGAAGCTGTCTGATCACAAATGGCCTATCTGTATGCAGGTCTTGGTGGAATTAACGGTTTCAATGCCATTACAAAGGGCATGGACAAATTATATGTGCATCACAATCTTGGGAACAACTTGCATCACTGCTTGATGCATTCTTTATCGCTTAGCGTCTATTTTTGAGTCGTATTATACTATCTGACCACGTTCAGATCCTGAAGTCATCAAATGAAGGGGTTATCGAGTATCTGCATAACATCTCACACAACTTAATATTGATGAATTAGAACTTCGTTTTTGCCAAACATGATAAATTGAATCAATGTTTCTCAATTCTCAGTGACAAATTGCGGAGGAAGCAATGAATGTCTCCACACTATTTGGTCACAGAAGACACTGGGGTTTGGGAAA